GATGGGTGTGAGCCATCATGTGGTTGCTGGGAATTGAACTCAGGACCTTCAGAACAGCAGTCAGTTCTTTTAACCTCTGAGCCATCTCTCCAGCCCAAAACAAATGCTTTTTGGAAAAAGAAAGATCCGACTGCGGCTCCAGCGTATATAGCTTGAAGGGAGGCAGAACAAGTGGTGAGGGGAAGCGGGGACACCATTTCAGTAGTTCAAGCAAGAGAAGGTGGTGTCATCTGGGGACCCACAGCCATGGGTCTGAAGCGTAGTCATAAACTTAATAACCAATATCGGAGGATGATTGGAACCTAGACTCATTCCAAGATTGAAGCTTGGGAAATGATAATAGAGTTCTATGTTCCTCAAAGGGCTGGGAATTCAGTGTTAGAACCCTTGCCTCCTGCGCTAAAGGCTCCTGGTTCGATCCCCAGCACAAGAAGTATGTATCTTTTTGTCTGAGACAGATGCTTCTCATGGGGTGATGGGGAACATGGCTGGGAAGAAAGGGAACAGATGGTCAGAAAGGCTCAGAGGGCAGATCTGGGTACATTTTGAAAACACAGTTGACTGAGTGCTTGCCTCGTGTGCACAAGGCTCTGTGTTCGAATCCCAGCAGTTCACAAACAGGTGTGGTGTAGATGCTCCTAATGCCAGCATTTGGAAGGTGGAAGCAGGAGGATCAGAAGGACCGTGTTTGAGTCCATCCTGGGACAGAGACCCTGTATTCTGTATTATCCACCTACAACAGCTGTACTTGGGGGTTCGAACAGGCTTAAGTTAGAGCAAGCAAAAGTAAATGAATGAATAACAAGTAGCAGATACATAGCAAACATCGAATCAGGAGTTTTTAGCATCTAGGAGAGAAGACGTGAGTAACCTGATTGAGAGAGCACAAAGAGGGAAAATCCTCAAACTGGAGGCTTAAAACCATCCCGCAGAGATGGAGCGGGGAGGCTGAGGCAGTCAAATGGAGTTCCTGATTGACTGTATTCTCAGTCAGTGAACTTGTGCTTAAAAATGTAGTCTGTGATTTTTTGGGTTTTTTTGTTTGTTTGTTTTGGTTTGTATTTATTTATTTATTTATTTATTTATTTATTTATTTATTTATTTATTGGTTTTTTTGAGACAGGGTTTCTCTGTGGTTTTGGAGCCTGTCCTGGAACTAGCTCTTGTAGACCAGGCTGGTCTCGAACTCACAAAGATCCGCCTGCCTCTGCCTCCCGAGTGCTGGGATTAAAGGCGTGCGCCACCACCGCCGGGCTTATTTATTTATTTATTTATTTTACCACGTGATGACTATTGGAAATGGTTTCTCCCTGTAGCTATTCTCAAGGATATGATGTTTCTAGTTTTGGGCTGTTTTGCTCTTCTTCAGTCTCTCCATCTCAGAGCCAGGGAACCAGCCTGCCCAGCACATGGTCACACATACACTCACCCTAATAAAATGCTTCGTTTTCTAAATATGTACTTAATTTTATGTGTGTGGGTGTTTTGCCTGCATGTGTTTAAGTGCACTCTTGTGTGCTTCATGCCTGTAGTAACCAGAAGGCGGCCTTGGATTCCCTGGAACCAAAAAGAAACTGAACCTGGGTCCTCTGCAAGAGCAGCAAGTGCTCTTAACTGCTGAGTCATCCCTCCAGCCCCCACAAACTTTTTAGAAGTGTAAGCATGGACACTTTCTAGATTGTGCCATGGAACCAGTATTGTCCTAATGCCAAAACCAGACTAAGACATCACAAGACCAACATGACTCATGAACATGGACGCAAACATCCGGAACACATGCTAGCAGATGGAACTCATCAACGAATTAAAGGAACCAAGCATCACCAACCACAAAGTCAGAGTTATCTTTGTAAGTGATTTGGAATGAGCTTAGCGTATGAAAGCCTATTTGAGTATCAATAGAATTAAAAATAAAAAAGACAGAGAGGTGAGTCAGTTGTCAACATGTTTACAGCAGAAGCATAAGGACCAGAGTCTGAACCCAGCACCCATGTCATGTCAAAAGCCAGGTGTGGCGGCACATGGCTATTCTTCCAGGGTTGGCAAGGTAGAGACGGGGTCTATGGGGCTGCCTGGCCAGACAGTCTAGCCCAGTCTGTGGGCTCCAGGTTCAGTGACTATCTTCTAAAAAAAAAATGGAGATGGAGACTAATGGGTGAATGCCCAACATTGGTCTCTGGCCACTACACACATGTGACTCACATACTCATGTACACACATACACACACTTGGACCATTTTGGTGGTACACACCTGTAATCCCAAAGGGAGACAGGAAGAAAGGAAGAAAAGAGGAAAGGAAGGATCAAACAGACAAACGAAGGTAGGAAGAGTTGACTATGCCTGTAATCCTAGCATTCAGGAGACTGAGACAAAAGGATTGTAAGTTCAAGGTTAATATGAGCTGTGTAGCAAGACACTGTCTTGAATACTTCCCCTTAAAAAAGAAAAAAGGAAAGACAACGGACTGAAGAGATGGCTCAGTTGTACTGGCTGCTATTCCAGAGGTCCTGAGTTCAATTCCCAGCAATCACAAGGTGGCTCACAACCATCTGTAATGAGATCTGGTGCCTTCTTCTAACTTGCAGGTATACATGCAGACAGAACACTGTATACATAATAAATATTTTTTTTAAGAAAAAGGAGCCAGGCGGTGGTGGCACACGCCTTTAATCCCAGCACTCAGGAGGCAGAGGCAGGTGGATCTCTGTGAGTTTGAGACCAGCCTGGTCTACAAGAGCTAGTCCCAGGATAGGCTCCAAAAGCTACAGAGAAACCCTGTCTTGAAAAACAGAGGAGAAGGAGGAGGAGGAGGAGGAGGAAGAGCCTTTTCTGTGGGATTCCAGTGTATACTGAAGACCAGCAGAGACATCCAGCCTCATGGACTGAACAGCTACTGGCTTCTTGGGCCTTCTGTTGATAGATCGCCATTCCTGGACAAGCTGGACCACAGCCTATACGCCACTCTAAATCCTCTTTCTCTCTCTCCCAGGCCTCTGGAGGTATCGGCAGGAGGATCAAGAGTTCAAAGTCATTCTTAGCTACCTATCAAGTTCAAAGTCTGCCTGGGCTACATGAGACTCTGTTTTGAAAGAAGGTGTTGGGGAGGGGGTGAAGAGCCGGCCCAATAGTCAAGAGAACTTAACTTCTACTATTCCAGAAGACCTGAACCTGTCACCCCTGTTGGGTGACTTCAGCTCCAGCAGATCTAAAGCCTTCTTCTGGATTTCACAGGCACCTGCACACATGGTGACATACAGAAACACATAATAAAAATAAGTATTTCAGGACTGGAAGGATGGCTTAGTGATTAAGAGTGCTGGCTGCTCTTCCAAAGGACCAGGGTTCGCTCTGTCCCTAGCTGGCCCCTAGAGTCCTGGCCCTTTTTGCTGCCCCTCTGAGCCACTGCCCCTCAGGCCCTGCTAGTTCTGTGCAGAGGGGTAACTGCTCTGATCAGCCGCATTTCTGTGCTCTATATAACCCTAGGCCATCAGGTCACCTTATGGGAAACGTGCCTGGAAATCGATCCCCATTTTGAGACTTTTTACAATGCTTTGGGTATCCTAACAATAAACTTTTAATTTTCTTTAAAGTAATAGTAACATCAAAACTAAATTAGATTGTAATACATCTTAAGCTCATCCTGAGAAAGCCCTTATCATCTCTGAACATAGATACAGTTAAGAAAATAAAAATAGGGGGCTGGAGAGATGGCTCAGTGGTTAAGAGCATTGCCTGCTCTTCCAAAGGTCCTGAGTTCAATTCCCAGCAACCACATGGTGGCTCACAACTATCTGTAATGGGGTCTGGTGCCCTCTTCTGGCCTGCAGACATACACACAGACAGAATATTGTATACACAATAAGTAAATAAATAAAATATTTTAAAAAAATTGTAAAAAAAAATCATCAAAAAAAATAAAAAAATAAAAAAAAACTGTACACAGTACCAAAGGACCAGGTTTCAATTCCCAGTCCCCACATGGCAGCTCACAACTGTGTGTAATCCAGTTCCAGGGGATCCGCCACCCTCACACAGACACACACGCAGGCAGAACACCAGTGCACGGGAAATTAAAATTAAGATAAACTATTTCAATATTTCAAGTGTGTTTTCCTGGAGATAAAGTCAGTGAGTAAACTCAGTCGCAGGTAAATTGACTGCACTATCTATGACAAACCGTGCTATGTCGTCATCATAAGGACTGGCCATTGGGTAATAGACTGTGCCTACTTGTCTGTGTAAAAGGGCGAGGTCTGTCTGTGAGATTTCTTAGCAGACTGCCTGTGATATGGGTTTAACAATTGCAAAGATAAAAATCGTTTTCTTTCTTTCTTTACATTTGTTTTGTTTTTTGTTTTTCAATTTTTTGAGAAAGGGTTTCCCTGTGTAGCCTTGGCTGTCCTGGAATACTCTCTATAGAGCAGGCTGGTCTCGAACTCACAAAGATCCACCTGCCTCTGCCTCCTGAGTGCTGGAATTAAAAGTATGACTCACAACATCTGGCTATTGCTTATTCTTTACGGCAGGAGCTGGCTATGTAGCCCAGAGGAGTTGACAACCTGCTTGAACCTTTCTTCTTCCCTGCCTCCCAAATGCCATGTGCCCGCTGCACCCTGTAGGATTTTTTTTTTTTCTTTCTTTGAAAGACAAGACCTCCAGGTGGCCCCGGCTGGCCTTGAACTTGTAACACAGCTGAGGACGACCTCTTGCTGCCACATCCCCGAGGCCTGGGGTGACAGGTGTGCACACCCGCACCTCCACAGCTGCGGTTTTCAGTTGTCTCAAGTCTGAGCCTGCTCCAGGATGGAGTGCAAACACCCTTACCACACACCTTCCTTTCTCTTTCTTGGTGATCATGCTGTGCTACCCTGGCCCTAATTCCCTCATCTGCCTACCGGAGCCGGCGTCCAACTTGTCAGCCTGTAGGTGACCTGTTCCTTTAAGAACACCCCCCTCAGCTCCGCCCAGTCAGGCCGGATTTCCTGTCCTAACCCTGCCCTTTAAAGTTATCTCTCCAACTTTCTGGCATGCTGGGTACTGAAATCAGAGACACTAAGGGATCCTGAGGGACCTGGGATACTGAAAGTGAGCAGAAGTGGGCTGTGACAGGTGGCATATATACCCAGGACTCCGGAGGGGGAGGAGACCTAGCCAGGGAAGAGCCCCGAGAGAAAGTAAAGTCACTTGGGAGTGGGTAAGATGTCCTACGTTTTGCTCAGCCCTCTCTGTGCCTGCCGAGGGGGAGCTGTCGAGCTGCTCTTCCAGCTACAGGGCTAAGGAATCGAGGATGTCTGTCAGTAGGACACCGGACTGACAGACATACTGCCTTTTCCAGCCTGCGTGCCCAGCAGGGCCCTGGCTTTCTCCCTCTGGCTTCTTCCTCAGCTTCCTGTGTGCAGGGAAGTGGGGGGGGGTGGGGACAACATGGTTATCCCCCTTGGGCCCCACTCTGTTCCGTTCTTCTCCCAGGAGCTACTTGGGGATGTTGCTGCTTTGGCTGCTGCTCCTGCTGCCCCTACTGGCCGTGCTGTGGCAGCAGAAGCCCTCCTGGCTGATCCTCCTCCGACATCAGGTGGCCTGGCGGGTCCTGGCCTGGGAGGCTGCCTGCCAGCAGCGAAAGCTGCAACAGAGCACACTGCGCGCGGGCCAGAGCCAGCAGCAGGCTCTCCTGTGGTGTCTGAAGAGAGCCCAGAGTCCTTGCTGTCTCCCCCGGGGGATCACAGGTGCGGTTCTGACACCTGGGGGAAGTGACCCAAAGAGAAAGTGCACACACACACACCAGAGTCTAGAACCCAAAGGCCCCCGTTCATTTACTACCAATACTCTGTGGCCTGACCCAGAGCCCCACCACAGCTCACACCTGATTCTCCTGTTAAGATGGATTTTCCTTTGCTGGGTCCTGTTCCAGCCCTCACCCCACTTTCCAGACCCTTCCTGGGTTCCTTCCTCGAGAGTCTCCACATTCTTCTCACTTCCTGAGGAGTTTCTGGTATTTTGGGGGGGCTACAGACATGAGCACCTTCCGGAATCAGCTCCCATTGACCAAAACCAGCCAAGTCCAGGAGGAAGAAAGCAAAGAGCAGCTCCTGCCCCCTTCCTCACCCCAGTACCATGGAGAGGCTTCTCTGCAGGTAAACAGAGGCACCCCCACCCCACAGCAGCAAACTCTTATTGAAGGATGTGTGCAGAAGGCCCACAGTAGTAGCTGGGTCTGATTCTGAAGTCTAAATAACAGCCTATCTTATATCATCCCTCCAGGCGACCCTGCTGGGTCTAGTCACCCTAAACAAGGTCTACCCAGAAGTGTTGTCTCCAGGAAGTTCTGCCTGTGTTACCCCTACATCCCCATGGCTCGGCTCTGTTCCCTGGCTCAGGCATGCCTTGGGCCGGGTAAGCCCCCTCGGAGCCAAGGACACTCGGACTCTGCTACTGGAGGCACTGATGTCCTCAGGGCTGAGGGCACTGGAGGCATGGACTGCAGTGGAGCTCCTGGATGTCTTTGTGGGCCTGGAGGCAGATGGCAAAGAACTGGCTGAGGCCATAGCATCCGGGAAGCTAGGAACGCCTCTCCCCAGCCGAGCCGCTGAACTACAGGAAGCGCTGGAGCAGGGACCCCGAGGTTTGGCCCTTCGGCTCTGGCCAAAGCTGCAGGTGGTGGTGACCTTGGATGCAGGAGGCCAGGCAGAAGCTGTGGCTGCCCTTAAGGCCTTGTGGTGCCAAGGGCTAGCCTTCTTCTCTCCTGCTTATGCCGCCTCTGGAGGTCAGCTTGATGCGGGGCTTGGATGCAGGTGGGGCTGGGGGCAAAGGTCACACAGCTAGCTATTGTGCATCCAGCCGCTTATACTTATCTTCTTGAATCCTTCTCAGTGCCTGGGATGGTATGGGTACCTAGCGTGACTGACAGCTGAGCATGCCAAGGTTCATTGAGACCTAGCATCTCACACAGACTCGGGTGGTACCAGGATTTGCTTTCAACTCTGATCCCTGTGGAACCGCGGCATCTCTACAGGCTAGACCTGGGGGGGGGTATCCTGAGAAGCTGGAGCAGGAGGACCAGATGCTCAGAGAAGCTGGGTCTGTGGTCCAGAGTGAGGCATTGCTGTCTACTGTTGCCTGGCAGAAAGGAATGTGCCCTGAGGTTAACAAGATTTTTTTTGTTCTCTGTAGGGGTGATGGCCCTAAACCTGTGGCCAGAGCAACCCCAAGGATCATATCTTCTGCCCCCTGGAATCCCCTTTATTGAGCTGCTTCCCTTCAAGGAAGGAACCCAAGAGGAGGCAACCTCCACTCTCCTTCTTACTGACGTCCAAAGGAAAGAGGAGTATGAGCTGGTGCTGACTGATCACGCCAGCCTGACCAGGTGATCCCTACTGGCCCCGTCACCTCTGATGTCCTGCCCTTGGGAGGGGACCACAAGTTCACTCTTCTCCCTAACCCCACTCCTCAGGTGCCGCCTGGGAGATGTGGTCCAGGTGGTCGGTGCCTACAATCAGTGTCCTGTGGTCAGGTTCACCCGCAGGTAGGTGACCCTGGGGATGCCGAGGGGCTGCCCCTGTCCCTTGGGTCCACTCCCTCCTCCTTCTTCCCTCAGGCTGGGACAGACCCTGAGCGTTCGAGGAGAAGTTACTGATGAGAATACCTTCTCTGTGGCCCTGGCCCAAGCAGTGGGGCAGTGGCCAGGGGCCAAGCTATTGGACTATGCCTGTGTGGAGAGTGGCATTCTGGGTAAGCATTTCTCGCATTGGGTCTGGTTATCCCCCACCTATGTTCACCCTGACCAGAGACACCTAGGAAGGGATTCAACTCAGTCTTCTCCACTGCTCCTAACAAAAGTTCCTCTCTGTCTCTAACTCCCATGCCTCTCACCACCACAGCCTCCACCTTTTTTACTTATTTATTTATTTTCAGGACAGGGTTTCTCTGTGTAACAGTCCTTGCTGTCCTGGAACTCACTCTATAGATCAGGATGGCCTCAAACTCACAGAGATCAGCCTGCCTCTGCCTCCCGGGTGCTGGGACTAAAGGCGTGTGTACCACCTTTGCCCAGCTTCACCCATTTTCATTCCTGACCTTTTTCATACCCAAGTGTTGGGTCTAGGTTCCCCTCTATTTGCTGCTTGTCACCGAGACTCTCTCTCGCCCCCGTGAATCTTAGAATAGGGAAGATGTAAAGGCAGAGGCTCTGGCAGCCACTTTGTCCTCAGGAACTGTGTGTGCGGGTGGCTTTGTCCTCAGACTCCTGTGATGGTTCTGCCCCGCACTACGAGGTGTTCATGGAGCTGAGGGGATTGAGGAATCTGTCGGAGGAAAATCGAGACAAGGTAAAGGATGACATGGGGTCTGGCTCAATCTCTTTTGCTCTACAAGTCCTCCCAGTTGTCATGGAAACAAGGGAGTTCAGGGAAAGGGCTACCAGGGAGGGGAACCCTTCTTCAGGGAATCTGGGAAGGGAGCATGGATCCTTGAACACACATTTCTATACTGAAGTCCTGCCTGCAGGTGGCCTTGGGCACAGGCATATATGTGCCACTGCAGGGTAGCCTCACTGTCCTATTCTGCCCCTAGCTTGACCACTGCCTTCAGGAAGTCTCCCCTCACTACAAGTCCCTGCGGCACCGGGGCAGTGTGGGTCCTGTCAAAATCCATCTGGTTGGACCAGGGAGCTTCAGAGTCCTCCGAGAAGCCCTAGCAGCCTGCCCCTCCTCCTCCTTCCCTCCTGAAATGCCTCGGGTCCTCAGGCTCAGTCACCTGGCCCAGCTCCTGTGGAAGAGGGTGATATCTTAACCAAGGCAACTGTTGCCAGACTCCCCTTTGCCACCTGGCTCTTCCCTCTGGGGCGTCTCCAGATGTTGAGTCCTGGACCAGACATCACATATTGGCCCATCAGAGCCACTGAGCCCTTAGGAGGCCTTAGACGCATTGGCCAGTTTTAAGGTAGAGGCTTTGGGCGTACAGCGGAACCCAGCAGTGCCTACGACCATCTCCCTCAGCCTACCCCATGTGACACTGATAAGGAGTTCTGATACACCCTGGTGACTTCCTGTATCTCAACCTCTCATGTGCTTGACCAGGGTACAGCATGGGTGAAAAGTGTAGGTGATGCTCCCAGAGTGGCTCCTTAAGGAGCAGGAGCAAATGAACAAAGACCTCGGCATCACTGTCTCCTGGTCCGAGGTATCATCTTGCACAGTCTCCTGAAAGGAGGAGGCTGGCCCACAAGAGTAAACCAGCATCCAATACTCTTCCTGCCAGCTCTCCTCCCTTCCCTCTGTCCTTCCCTCCCTTGCCCATTTTATCATTTGGCTCCCTGGATCCACTCCCAAATAAAATTCTTTTTAAAATATTGATGTATTGGTTTTATGTTATCTGTGTGTGCCTGCGTGTTTATGTGCACCATGTATATGCAAATGTTTCCAGAGGCCAGAAGAAGAGAGTGAGTTCATTGAATCTGGAGTTATAGGCAGCTGAGAGCTGCTATGTGGGTTCTGGGAACCAAACCCAGGTCCTCTGTAAAAACATCCAAGGGCTGCCAGGTGGTTGTGGCTCACGCCTTTAATCCCAGCACTCGAGATGCAGAGGCAGGCGGATCTCTGTGAGTTCAAGTCCAGCCTGGTCTACAGAGTGAGTTCCAGGACTGGCTGCAAAGCTATACAGAGAAACCCTGTCTCAAAAAACCAACCAAGGGATGGAGAGATGGCTCAGTGGTTAAGAGCACTTACTGCTTATCCCGAGGACCCAGGTTCAATTCCCAGCACCCACATGGCAGCTGACAACTGTCTGAAGATCTAGTTCCAGGGGATCTGACACCTTCACAACAATGCACATAAAGTTAAATAAACCATTAAAAAAAGCCAAGCCGGGCGGTGGTGGTGCACGCCTTTAATCCCAGCACTCAGGAGGCGGAGGCAGGCGGATCTCTGAGAGTTCCTGTTGATTGCGTTGGGTGGGTCACTCAGTCTAAGGGTTGTAACCCACCCTGCAATCAGTTATTCCAGGGTCAAGGAGGGGTACTATCTGGAAGAGAAATGGGCTAGGAAACAAGGAGGAGGCCATGCTAAATTTGTCACAGCCTCCGTTTATTAGGGTCCTGGTTGCTGCGTATACAGCCCCTGGATGAGGTGCTTGGGGGCAGGGCACGGGATCTCGCTGCCGAGTGGTCCCGGTCACGTAGGCCAAGAAGTCACGAGTTGCCACACCTAGTTCCCTGGATAGCTGGAATGTGGGGCAGGTTCTGCTAACAGATAACTCTCCATCAACAGCTTAATTGGGTGTGGGGCAGGTTCTCTCAATAGAACAATTCTTAACATAATTATGGGTGTGGGGTTCCCTGCAGATTCCCCAAGACGATGGCTCCTGTAATGATTTTTAGGAGGAAAATGGCTCCTCACAAGTTCAAGACCAGCCTGGTCTACAGAGCTAGTTCCAGGACAGGTTCAAAAGCCACAGAGAAACCCTGTCTCGAAAAACCAAAAAATAAAAATAAATAAATAAATAAATAAAAGCCAAGCAAACAAATGAGAAAACTCATCAAGGACTCTTGGCTACTGAGTACATTTCTCAAGGCTGTCAAATAAAATTCTCATACCCAGATTCTGGGTGCTGCTTTGGGAATGTCATGTGGGCACCCTGCTTCAGCCACAGCCTGGGCTCCCAGCCAGCCACCCTTCTCTCTGCCCTGAGTTCCAGAACTTACACCTCCTCTGCACACTGGCTTAGGTTAGTCCCAAGAGTGTGAGTTCGTAGGAGCTTCTGGAGCCTTCCTCCATGGCTTAACACAAGCAGACAGATGCATCCCACCGTCCCATCCCCCACCCTGAAGGTGAAGGGGCTGTGTGTTACCAGCTTCACCCGGTCTCAGCACTGGTCTCCTTCTCGGCCTAGCCTGTACAAATCACTTCCACGATGAGAAAGGAGGAAGCTAAACTTCAAGTCACGGAGTGTCATAGCAAGCAGGAGCCTCAGAGCTCCCTGCAGAAAGTGCCCATAGCAGTAAGGAAACTAAGCTTCGAAGCTGGGAGGCCAAGACCTGCAGCTCCTCCCAAGTCAAGGGAGATTAGCATGCTGCTTTCAGTTCTGCCTCCGAATGTTTCTCTGTCTTCCCATGTCTCCTTTCATGGGCTCCTCCCTCTTCCATAGCCAGCACCCATCAGTCTTCCAATGACTGCCCAGCCTGGCACCTAAGGCCCTGGAAAACTTGACCCAACTTAACTCTCCCCTTAGTTCCATAGAAACTATGAGCCCCACACCCCATGCCATGTGAGCCAAGCACTGTCAAATCCTAGCCTTTGTTCACTTTGTCCCTTCTCAGGCATACTCTGTCCCCTTACCTACCTAGTGGAAGCAATTTGTCAGGCCAAGCCTTTGAGGGGCACCCCTGTCCCACTCAGAAGAAAGTGACTATCTAATTGTTGCTGGTTCTGAGTAGTCCTTTCCCTCCATTAGATTATCCTTGGACCCAGATGTCACCCCACCCCAGACTTGTGTGCTCCTTGAAAGTGGGGACATGGCTGTGGAGATGCTTACAGAGCACTTACTGCTTTTGCAAAGGACCTGGGCTTGGTTCCCAGCACCATAGTGGCTCACTACCGTCCATAACTCCAGTCCCAGGGAACCTAAAACCCCCTTGGCACTCACAGGCACCAGGCACACATGCAGTACATATCCGCATACACAGAGACTATCCCGCATACTTCGGGAGGCAGAGGCAGGCGGATTTCTGTGAGTTCGAGGCCAGCCTGGTCTACAAAGGGAGTTCCAGGACAGGCTCCAAAGCTACAGAGAAACCCTGTCTCGAAAAACCAAAAAAAAAAAAAAAATAAAGAAAGAAAATGGGGTCACAGTTGGGCAATGGTGGCACACACCTTTAATCCCAGTCACTCGGGAGGCAGGTGGATCTCTATGAGTTCGAGGCCAGCCTGGTCTACGGAGTGAGTTCCAGGACAGCCAGGGCTACACAGAGAAAGGAAGAAAAGAAGGAAGGAAGGAAAGAAGGAAGGAAGGGAAAAAAGAAAAAGAGAAAGAAAGAGAGAGAGAGAAAGAGAAAGAAAGAAAGAAAGAAAGAAAGAAAGAAGGAAGGAAGGAAGGAAGGAAGGAAGGAAAGAAAGAAAGAAAGAAAGAAAGAAAGAAAGAAAGAAAGAAAGAAAGAAAGAAAGAAAGAAAGAGTCACATCCCAGGCACACTGAGGTCACTGTACCCATGCAGAAATTGATCTACATCAAGAGCTCCTTAACAAGGCCCTGAAGGAGTTTGGCAAGTGGCATGAGTCCTTGGCAAGTGGATGAGTTCCATCCCACACCCATCACCCTCACACCTGGTTCCATGATGGTTCAGTCCTGGAGATGGCAGAGTTAGACTACACAATAGCCTCTTCTCTCCTGGCCCAGGAGACATTGCTCTCCACCAGTTTCTAGAAACCAGGCTTGGCTGCCCTGTCACCCATTGCCCACAGTAAGTCTCCGTAAAAGTAAGACTTTCCACGGAGGAGTTAAGTGAAAGGAACAGAAGAAACGGAGGGCTGTGGGGTGGGGTGGGGCAGTTTCTCCATGTTTCCACGGAGGAAAAAGGCTCTGGAACCTGATATTCCTCAGAGATGGGCAAGGAGCCGGTGATGTGTGTGTGTGTGTGTGTGTGTGTGTGTGTGTGTGTAAATGCTACCCAGGTATCCTCCCTACTCCCCCACCCTCTACGTACCATGGACAATGGTTCTCAGGCTGCCACTTCTCCTGCCCCTAATTAGCAACTGCCCCCTCCCCTATTGTCTCCGGCCAGTGCCCCAGTCACTGCCTCTTTTGTGAACTTGGATTCCTGGGTGTGAGGTAGCCTCATTAGTACCCGGAGACCGCCCCATCTCCAAGAAACAGGCAGACAGACAAGCAGGGGACCAAGGACAGGGCGGCCATTCTTTGGGTCCAACCTGGAGACGGCTCCACGGCAAGATGCTAATCTTAGACATGCCTTTGTCTGGTTTAAAATGGGCGCAGATGCTCATGTCTTCCCCCCCCCCTTTCCACACACACCTCAGAGCACTATAAACCCCTGCCCCTGGAAGCAGCCCACAGTCCACCACCGCCTCAGACTCCTTGGGTGTTTGGACCACTGCGCTGAAGACAACTGTCTTTCCAGACTGCCCTGCCCTGAGCTCCAGACATCATGAACTTTCTTTCTACAAAGGTAAAGAGCTGGGAATAGGGATGAGCTTCACCAAACCACTGAGGCCGCTAGAGTGTTTGCCCTGGGGCTGGGCCCAAGATGATCTTTCTCGGGCAGCACTGAGGCACGAGTCTGGGCTGCGGGATCTCGGCCCTCAGGCTGTTTGGTTAACACTAGGTACGCTGTTCTCTTAAAGGCTCGTGTTTATTGAGCAAACGCTTGTATTTCAGATGCTTTTGTGCTTGTCAGTTTATGTCTCCCACTTAACAGCCCTGGATAGCAGGAATGATTTAATGCCTCGTTTGTAGGTGAGGAAGGACCGTCCTAAGAGGGTGAGAAACTGGTCCAAAGTCACAATGTTCAGTTTTCTCCAGCAAAGGAACAGGCCTGCTGTGTGTGTAGAGGGAAGGCCTAGGCTGAATAAACCCTTTGTTTCGGCTAAGCTTACGGGTTTGTTGCAGACAGACTCAGACACGCCTGTCTGCAGGTGGAGCCTTTAAATATGTTTGCAAGGGACAAACTTATTCAGCCGGCGAAAGTTTACGAGGGCTTCCTAGGGAAGGTGGCTCGGCTGTGGACTTAAGGATGAGTAGACACAGGAAACTCAGTGACAGGCACGATTTCAGGCAAGGTGAGGTTCTGAGCCGACTGGGTATGGAGTGAATCCCTTTCGCGCCCTGTCTCTCGTTCTTTTTAGGTTCCCTGGGCCGCCGTGACGCTGCTGTTGCTACTACTGTTGCCGCCAGCGCTGCTGTCGCTTGGGGTGGACGCACAGCCACTGCCCGACTGCTGTCGCCAGAAGACCTGCTCTTGCCGCCTCTACGAACTGTTGCACGGCGCTGGAAACCACGCCGCGGGCATCCTGACTCTGGGAAAGCGGCGTCCTGGACCCCCAGGCCTCCAGGGCCGGCTGCAGCGCCTTCTGCAAGCCAACGGCAACCACGCTGCCGGCATCCTGACCATGGGCCGGCGCGCAGGCGCAGACCTAGAGCCACATCCCTGCCCTGGTCGCCGCTGTCTGACCGCTACCACCACCGCTTTAGCACCCCGGGGCGGGTCAGGAATCTGAACCGGTCTTCAAACTCTGTTCTGGTCCTCTCTTCTCCCCTCTGCTCGCCAATGTCAGTCTCTAGGAAAACGGCAATAAAGACGAGTCTCTGTTGGTGTGGCTAATTTTTGTTCCTGTGTGTCAAGTTCAGGCCTCCAGGGGGCGGGAGAGCATCTTGGGAACTGTGAAAGATCTAGGGCCCGGAAGGAGCTGGATTTCTTGTCCGAAATACTTGGTAGGGAAGACTCAAGTGCAAGGGTCCTTGCAAAGTCCCGGGGTGCATGCTTGCGGGGGTGGGGGGGGATAAGGTACTCATGTGTCCCACGTTGTTCTACTATCTACTTTATTTGCTTATTTCTATTTATTTATTTTAAAGCAGGGTCTTATGTATTCCAGGCTGTCCTCGAATGACCAGAATGACCGTAAACTTAAGTGACCTCCCTGGGGCTGTTGAAATTGCAAGTGTGCTCTGCCACACCTGGGGTTTATGCGGTACTGGGGGACCTGAACCCAGAGCTTCGGGTATTTTAAGCAAGCACTATACCAACAGAGCTACATCCTCATCTCCTACTGTTCTATAATAGGGACCTATATAGAAAGGTTCAGGAAAGCTGAATAAGGGAATAGAATCCAGCTAAGGGCTGGATGTAAGGTTACAGAAAGGCAAGGCATGTAAGCTTCCATGGTGACCCTTCCAGAGTGGTGGTGGCGTGGTCGGCTGTGCGAAAGCAGGTGAGTAAGTTTGTGCAGTCATTGCAAATGGCCAGATATTGCACCTAGTTGTATAGAATGAAAACTGGGAATGTTCTTTTATTGTTTGTTTTTCGAGACAGGATTTCTCTGTGTCTCTGTGTAGTTTTTTTTTTTTTTTGGTTTGGTTTTTGGAGATAGGGTTTCTCTGTAGCTTTTGGAGCCTGTCCTGGAACTCACTCTGTAGACCAGGCTGGCCTTGAACTCACAGAGATCTGCCTGCCTCAGCCTCCCCAATTGCTGGGATTAAAGGTGGATGCAACCACAGCCCGGCTTCTGAGAATGTTCTTAAGCAAAAATGGGGCAAAAAAAAAAAAAAGATTTTTTTTTCTACGACTCTAGCAAAAGATACACGTTGTGGATGGGAGTGTGCGCCCCCCAGATTCACAGGTTGAAGTCTTAACCCCTCCCCCAGCATTTAGGAAGTGGTCTTGCCAATGCAGTCAAGTAAGATAAGATGGGAGTATGGCAGACCTCTAATCCAGTATGAGTAGTGCTCTCATAAAAAGGGGGATTGGCATACACACAGAGACTCAGGAAGAACTCGTATGAACTTGGAAGCAATGACCAAGGCAATGCATGCACAAGCCAAAGATGCCAGAACTCACTAGCAACCCACTAAGAAGCTGAAGGACAGCATGGAAGACTCTTCTTCAGAAGGATCTAGTCCTGAAGTCGGGATCTAACCTTGAACTCAGATTTCTAGATTCCAGAATTGTTTAACGGTCTATTCTGTGTCACTTTGCTATAGCCCTAGGATAGTAATTCAAAAAATAGAGACATGGGGGCTGGAGAGATGGCTCAGTGGTTAAGAGCGCTGCCTGTTCTTCCAAAGGTCCTGAGTTCAATTCCCAGCAATCACATGGTGGTTCACAACCACCTGTAATGAGATCTGGTGTCCTCTTCTGGCCTGAAGACATAGAAACAGGCAGACCACTCTATACTTAATAAATACATCAAAAAAAAAATAAAAATAGAGTCATGAGGGCTGGCAAGATAGCTCGGTAAATAAAGGCCCTTACTGCCAAGATTGAAGAACTGAGTTCGATCCTGGAGACAAAGTGGAAGGCGATAACCAACTAAGGAAAATTGTCCTCTGACCTCCACACCCTGCACTACAGCACAGGCAAGTACACACACATGCGCAAAATAAATGAATGTAACAACCCTCTTTTGAAAAGAAAGAAAGAAAAGAAGAAAGGAAGAAAGAAAGAAAAAAAAAGAAATATCCCAACTCCAGCAGGCGGCACTAGCAACCAGACACAAACCCCAGCGTGGGCCGCGCGGGGAAACCCGTAGGGTGGAGCTACCAGAGCAGCCAGGGAACCACGCGTAGAGGCGTGACCACCCTGAAAGAAGGGCGTGGCCACCATCCGAGCCCCACCTCATCACCTCAAGCCTCGATGGTGGGCGTGTCTCCGAGTCTCTCCCCAAGAGACACGCGTGGGCCGCTCCCCTCCGGGAGGAGAGCCGCAGAGGAGGGGTGCGGGTGTCTCTGGCGGCCCCTCCCGGTGCGGAGCCACGTGGTGGGCGCGGGCCGAGCCCTCGGGGAAGAACCTGACCCGTGGGGAGGTGGGAGGGGGGTGGCTCTCTAAGTGCTGCGGAGCAGAGCTCAGAGCTACCAGGTTCAGAGCAGAGAGGCAGCGGCGGCGAGAGGAGGGGAGGAGGCAGGCCGGCTCATGGGGCGCCCCGGCCCCGCCGGTAGCGCGCCCCCTCCGGCCAGGCCGCGCTGAACGCAGCCCGCGCAACGCCTCGAATCCGCACCCGGGGCCATGCCGGTCATGAAGGGGTTGCTGGCCCCTCAAAACACCTTTCTGGACACCATCGCCACCCGCTTTGACGGCACGCGTGAGTTGGATGGGGTCTGGGTCAAGTCTCCTTGGGACAGGGTGGGTATACTGGACACGGTGTGACCAGAGAAGACAGAATGGGGTGCAGGAACTCCTGAAGCCATGGTAAAGAAACAGGGTGCGGAGCCCTTGAGAGTGGAAGATCAAGAGACTGGGGCAGTGTGTGTTTTTTTTTTGGGGGGGGGGACAAGGTTAGGGGGTGTGACTCAAGGCAAAAGAGCTCTTTGTGCCATACAACGGAGGAGGGGGCCTTGGGAGCCACCCACTCCGGGACAGAGCTGTGCTGGGGGTGTGTTTGGAGGTGTCTGAGACCTGGAGATGGGACAAAGTGGTCTGATGACTCCAGATGCTTCTGCCCCAGAAAAAGAGAAAGAGAGATCAGACTTAGTTAAGACCTAGTCTATATTAAGGTCACGCGCGCCCCAAATTATGAGATATCTGTGTGTGAGGTGGGTGAGGCAAAGCGGGGGCAAGTGCTTGAGACCAAGGGAACTCTCTGCTAGCCCACCTGAGCGTGGTTCCCAAGTTCAGCACCTTGGACAGCCGCAGAGCTCCTTCCCGGCCTCTTCTCCCGCCATTCCCTCACCCAACTCTAGAACCCCCGTGTCTTCCTTTGTCCCTCTCCGAAACCCTGGCGGGCATTAGGAGGGTGGGGGAGCGGTAGCCGAGGGCGGAAACCGAGCCGTCAGGGCTCTACCCCCCCCCACCTCCCTTGTTTCCATAGCGCCAATCACCGAGGCAACGGGCCCTGGGATGGAAGAAGTAGGCTGTGCCCAGGACCCAGTGCTTCCTAGGCATCCTAAGTGTCCCGATCAGCCACCCCACCCTGGGACCGTAACCTCTCCTAGGGTCCTTGAACTGCTTGGGTCTCATATTCCATCATCTGAGCCTGTCCCTGGGTGCCCTCCCACTCCCAAGCCTCTAATCCACTGAAGCTAGAGGGAGCCAACTCAGGTTCTGGTGTTGGGGGTGGCTGCAGTTCACACCTCAATGTCTTCTCCAGTTTGACTTTAAGCACCAGGAGCAGATCCCCTGAAAATATCAAAAAAAGTGGGCATTTCCTGGAAGGCAAGAAAGAGGATGTGTCTCCCACTGTCTTTTCCTCACTTTAAGCACGTTTGTGAGTTTGGAAATTGTCTGCCTTTTGGTTTAACAATAAGAATATGATGTCATCAGAATCTTTGTCCTGCTCATTATAAGAAAATGCTGGGATTGTATCCAAGGATATGCTTCCAAAACTGAGTGACTGCAGGGTGTGTGTGGCGGGGGGGGGGGGGGGGGGG